TTCTTCATATGTAGAAAAAGAAAATGTAGAAAAACCCCATAGTTTGCGCATAGTTTGTTATTGCCCCAAGCATTAAGAGTATTACAAAGTCTTAAATATTGCTATAATTACTAAACATTGAACATGAGGTCTGATGCTTTGTAAGATTTAGGGATCCAAGTTGAAATTCCTAAAGAACTACAGGAAAACCTACTGCCTGTCACAGATCTGTAGTGATGTGAGTTATCCAAGTAGATCTACAGTTTCTAATGTTTGATTAATATATATATTTAAAGAATTTCCTGTCACAAATGCATCAACTGAAATAATCTTTCAAATGTATTAAAAGTACCTGAGTAAAAAATTGAGAGATAATCAGAAAATATTTGTCTCCTTGTGAAAGAAACAGCCAATGTTCAGAGAGACAAGTTTTCAATTTGTAGTCTTCAACTTGGCTTTCAAACTTTCTTGCAGACTAGACCACTTACTGAAGCACTTTTTGCGTCTTATTCCATTTTACTGCACCAGAGTTTAAAAAAATAAATGAACTAAAACCACACGCAAAGCAAAAAGAATCAAAGCAAAACCCAATTTTTAAAACATTAATTCAATAACATTTGAAATTGATTCAATGCCCACTGTCCACAGCAAACTTTGAATCAGACTTTCTGTTTATAAACGAATGTCTGCAATCAGGCTGTTTGCAATGTTGCATACACAGAAGTTAAGGACTCTTTGAAACTTCGGCTTTTCAGCACCGACGCAGGCTCTAGCTGCCATCACCAATTTGGAAATGACAGCAGACTATTTATTACTATTTCATTCACACGTAAGGTAACGTATTGTTCTAGGAAAAGCATATGCACTTAAAAGGTCACCCTGAGTAACTCAGTTCAATGTTGCTAAATAATAACCAATTAACAAACTGTTGCTTGCCTGTCGAATGTTAATTTTATTATATAGTGATGTATAGTACCTTGAATAACAGTACTATTATATAATGATGGACATAAATTTTGGTCTGATTTATAGCTAAAGTGTTCTACAAGAAAAGAAAAAGAAAGCATATGTTTAATGTTATGAAATCCTATGGTCTTAAAGTAAACTTAGGCCCTCAGTTTAAAAGTTTAGTGTATTTGTAAGTGCTTTTAACACCCATGGGTAAGAAAAATTATTAAACATTAAACCTACATGAAAATGTTTTGGTATACTTGAAACTAATTTCTGTGGGATCTCTGAGTTTACATCCAGACAACAGGACCTAAACCAAGAAATGTTAATCAGATGTAACAGAAACACAACTGGAATTGACCATATTTCACAAAATACCATTATGTCTGAAAAAATATCTGGAAGAGAACTATTCCCAAATGTGAGTCTGCTAGAATATAGGACATGCCCACATACCCAACATTCAAGCACCATGAACTGGAAGGACAGATTCTTTAATTCTATGGAGTCCAGAACTCCTGAAAAGAAGTTTCTTGTACAATGCCTTGCGCTTTCAAATGGGACTTTACACTTTTTTAATACTTTTCTCACTTACCCAAGCTATTAAGGGAAGTTTGGGTGTCATGCAGTCAAAGCTAAAAGATGCGTATTTTTGCTTATACACAACTTGATTTATTACACCTGCCCCTCATTTGATTTCTGCATCAATTATTGTAAAACGGGGTTAAACTTCAACTTCAGCAGTGGTATGGGACCTATTGGAAAAGCATGAGAAGTGTAAGAACTAGAAGTTTTAATAGTGCTGTACCAATCAGGCTTGCATTGCTCATAAACAGACACAACCAAAAATAAAACCTAGCTGTGAAAGACAATTACTTTTTAAGTGAGCTGCTTTCATAGAGAAGCAGATGAATCCCTTTAACATTCTCATTAGGAAGATAAGGTCACTGCTTTGTGTGGTTTTTATAAGAACACAAGTGAAAGTAAGTCAACCCATAGTCATATTCTTATCATTCCATCTTTAAGCCATGTAAAAGACTATAAAGCACTAAATTTGTATTTTCCGTGTTACTTTTTATCTTGTGATGACCTCTCCTGGTTGAGCTGTTCATTAGCCTTGATTCCAGAAGTTAAGAGTGTTTTGATCCCTCTATGCTTATTTCAAAAAAATTGCAGGAATATGAATAATTTATTGCCAAGGTATGAAAAACGTGACTATGAACAAAATTTACAGTAAGATCTGAGTATCAGTGTGTGTGATACTGTATCATGGTGTGTGTCTATTGTACTATAAGACGGACTTTCAACACGCACTTCATCTTCAGATAAAACTGAATAGGATTCAAAGCTTTCAACACGATCAATTCTGAATCAGTACTACTGAGAGACATCATTTTAATGACAGAGATAGATTTACTGACTTTGCAAAGTAAACAAACATTTGTGATGCAATATATTCACATAAGTGGCATCCAGTTCTATTCTTTCTGAAAACTGTATCTTTTGCTATGTTAGCACAAGCAGACTGTAAGAAAATGTTGAATAGCAAGCTCATATAAAGGGATTCGTAATTCACTGTACACCATGAATCTTGCATACCTCCTAAAAAATATTGTAAAGAATAAATTTGCTGTTGTTAATTACTTCAAAGTCAAAACATGAAGTAGCACCGGAGGAGAAAATAAAAATATGGCTGGAAATCAGTTTCACATCAAAGTTGCATTTCACACAATTTTTAATTATTTCAGAAGTATTCCCAATATGATGTTCAAAATCAACTGATGAGAAAAAAAAAGAGAGAGATTAAAAACTAAGTGCATTCTCTTGTCAAAGGAGAACAAAATTCCCTGATGCCGCTCACAATCAGCTGCATGCGAAGTGATGAACAATCCCAGAAAATACAGCACAGTGACCAGTTTGTACACCAAAGCGTGCAACAGAATAACCAGTTAAGTGGTGCACCAAAACACTGTGACACAGCACTTGAGTTCCTACTGTGGCACCACTTCCCAAGCACCCGTACGTCTTTACAAGAATTTTAAGCATGTACTGCAATGTGAACACTCCTTTTGTAATTTTAAGGCTGACGTCTACTTCTGGCTATATTTCTGTTTCCAGTAAACAAATCTAGCTCCATTTCACTTTCAGAAGTGAGTCAGAGATGAAATGCTATACACTACACAGGGAGTGTAGTGTATAAGCTCTTAGAAGGTGAATTAATATAAAGAAATCTTTGAATACCTGAAAAAAAAAAATGTCAAGATTGAAATGTATATGTGAGTAAATTGTAATTAACATTATATACATCCTTTATTCATGGAATTTCTGGTTATAGTGATGTTACTACAACCATTAACTTCTCAACTAACTTCTTTCAAAAGTTAAAGCTTTGTTTGTTGGGTAATCAGATAACCCACTGTAGGTCATTTTCAAGTTAAACTACAGCCATTAGTTACTGAATGACCAAAAAAAAGCTCAAAAATCCTATTATAGAAAGGCAGCATAGGGAACTTTGTTTTCCAAAAACAGATTTCTGACAACCTAAATCATGAATCTTTTTTTTCCCCTGTATATTCCTGTTCTGCAGAGCCTGAGAGATGACCACGAAGAAATAATATTCAGAAGAAAAATTAGATAGCTGGTCAAAACTAAGCAGTAAACCTCAGGATCAATATTTCTCCTAAATCAAAGGCAGAAAAATAACTGAACATCCCATAGCCTCTGAGACCTAGATACAATGCAAACACTGCTGTACATTTTCTGTTGACACACAAATACATGTCTAAGTGTAAGCAAATCCTGGAACAATAACATTGTTTTATTTTTCAATAGGTATCAGATGATAACAGATAGAAACCCACTGAGAAAGTACAGCAGTGCTCCAGTTCCCTAATCATTGCTTTGTTCATTCCTGCCCCCAAGGAAACAAATGAATACATATAATGATCCACATAGATCTCTATGGAGTATATACATTACATTCTAAGGCAATTCCCTGCTTGGTCAGTAGAATCAGCCCCCATTCACACACACACCATCCCAACACATCTATCTGTAACATCTCAGGACATTTCTTTCCTCTATAAACAGCAGAGGAAGTCAACAGTAGTGTCTATTTTTGACGATGCTATAAAAATGCACTGCTTCATTTCAGTATGCATTTCAAAAATACTTTGCAAATGGCAAATGCTTTACATGGTCTGAAGAGAAACAACTAAATACTTAACACTGACATCTACCTGCAAATGTTTTGCTGGAAACTACAGCTCAGTGCCATGTTAAAGATTTGATCTAACACCCATTGAAATCAATGAGTACGCTGTCATTTTTACACTGACAGCAGAACTGGGTCCCTGTATAGGTGCTCTGCACTCCTCCGGTCTGAAGTTCAGCATTTCAGCAGATGCTTGATCATTTCTCTACTATTTCTGCCTCCCTAGTGGGGCAATTGCTGGTCTCCTCTAAAATATCTTTGCTCATTTTATTATGGGAAGCAAAACTTCACTCTCAAGAAAAGCTGTCCTGGCTCAGTTCCCTCTCATCAACTCACCATCATTCTTTCCTCTTCAAATGAGACAAAATTTTCTCTTGCTGCTCCTTGATAGAACACTAGTTATGGAAACTGCTCACATCTCCTCTTTTCCCTCACACAGCTGTGGAAGTAAGTACTTCCAAATGCAAATTGTATACCTTCTGAGGAAGGTGGGAAAAAACAAAACAAAACAAACCAACCAACCAAACAAAAAACACCCCCAAACTTTCAACAGCTTCTGTCTGATTCCTTTCCCCCTCTGACTCCATTGCAGAACCAAGACTGTATCACAGAGCAGGTCTTTCAACTTTCCACACCAGCTACCACTGAAATCATCTACACTAAGGAAGATCTAGATGGGGAGCACTGCGAACAGTATCAAACCTCAGTGCACACATACACATTACAAACACGCAGAAAATCAAACACAAGATTCACCAGCAGAGAAAAAATAATCAACCTCCCAGAGTTGTGGGAATTCCCCTCTGGCTTATTGCAGAGCTGAAATTGTGCATGCTTCTTAGAAAAGAGTACTTACGAGATGCAGGCAGAGCAGTCCTGGCTCTGCAGCTAATGCTGCTGAAAATCCAGAGGAAGAGAGCTGCCCTGCAGCCAGCTCGGGTAACCACAACCATCCTTCACTTCCTGGCTCCCTGTACTCCAAATGCCAGCCGCAGAAGACCTGCTTTTCTCCACTTTGGCCCCTTCTCTCTCTCTCCTTCTCTTTCTCGGAGGAGGTGGTGAGGAGGTAAAGGGGGCAGGGCTTTACCTTGGGGTAGAAGCCAACCCCCCTCTTCGTCTTTTATCTCTGGGCTTGCAGCAGCAGGATAAGTCCCAGTACTTTTCTTTCCCTTATTTCTCTGTGTTTGTGTGTGTGTGTCTGTGCCTCCTTCTCAGAGGAAGGGGAAAAAAAAAAATAACCCACGAAGTATCAAATAACAAAGACTATAGAAGAGAAAAAGAAAAATTAAAAAACAGTCCCCAAAAAGATGGGGGGGAGTGGGGGAGGGAAAGGGAGACAGAGATGAAGGGAAGGGAGAAAGGCGGAAAAAGCTGTTGGTGCTGCTAATGCTGCTGTTGATGCTACCACTGCAGCTGAGCCCTTCTTCCTGCACAGAGCAGCGCCGCTGAGAGAAGCTTGCAATAACCTCCCAGCTCAGATATATATACACAGTGTACACGCACACACAGCCGGGGAGCCAAACACACTCACACAGGAGCAGGGAGAGGGGAGAGGGAGAGAGGGAGGGAGGGAAAGACACTCCCGCAGTAGAGAAGCAGGCTCACAGCCTCTCTCCTCATGTATTCATCATCTTCCAGCAGGAGGAAACGCTGCCACCAGCAGCAGCAATCTCCCCCCCGAAAAAATTAAAAAAAAAAAAGGCAGCAGAAGGGAAAATCCTCTCCCTAGCGCTCCCCTCCCCTTCCTCCAGCTCCTCCCTCTTCCTCTGCGCCCCTCCGGCCTCCAGGACCCTCCTCGTCCTCTCTTGCCTGGTTCAGAGCCAGAGCCGGGGGACCGCGGC